GCGGCTATTGCCCAATCACAATCTCAAACGGGCTTTGGTCGGACTCCACTACGCTGCTATGTCAAGCCACTTTGCTAGTCGACTGCATGCCCCGCACGATTACGGCAATAGAGTTCCGCAGTGCGTTCACTCGCTCAATCTGCCCATCTGTCTGCGGTGTGTTGCTGGTGAAAAAGCACAATTCAGACCCTAACAGCCTAAACAATTCGATCTAGAATTTTTTGCATGAACTGGCCATCCCGATCACTAGTGATGGTGTGCAGAACGCCCAATGTTTGACAATGCTTCAAAATAGCTTGCGCTTCTTTCAAGGCATTCCTTTATTACTTGTATAAGGTAGCATATTTCAAAATCTGTCCACCACTACCATGATACTGTCGAACCCATTCGCTTTGGCAGCCCCATGATGAAGTCCATACTCACGTTGTCCCAAGGTTTGTCCGCACCGGCAACGGTTGAGTAGTCCCCTCGATTTGCTGCTCAACTTTGTCTTGTTGGCACACTAAGCAAGTCCGGACGTAGCCCTCAACATCATCCTTCATCTTAGGCCAGTAGTAGTCAACGCTCAACAACGACAGCGTGCGTGCATCCCCGGATGCCCCGCCCAACGCTGTCATGACACTCCTCAGCAGTAGCTTCTGCAAGCCCTCGTGCTGCGGTACATATAGCATGTGCCCTTGGCGTACGCTAGCCCCTCGCTCACCCAAAACTGCCTGGTCTTGCCTGTCGTGGCATGCTCAAGTATGAATTGTGCGATCGGGTAGCATAACATGCCGTCCCGGATGCGCGACAACAGCTCTATGCGCACCTCACTGATGGCAACTATCGTAGCCCTCCTTCTCAATGCGTCAGCCACTGAATTAACCCTGCCCGGCTTATATTTCAACTCATAATCAAATTTCGCTAAGAAATCCTACCACCTAGCCTGCTTCGGGCTTAGCTTTTTTTGGCTTTGGAAGTAAGATGTGGCCAAATTGTCAGTCCGCATCATAAATTTAGCCCCCAATAAGTAATGTCACCATATCCGCAAGCAATGCACCACCGCCGACATCTCTTTTTCCTGAACCGTATACCGTCGCTCGGTATCATTCAGCTTCCAACTCTCATTTATAATCGGATGCCCAGCTTGCATCAGTACACCACCGATGGCAAAGTCGCTTACGTTTATATGCACCTCATACGGCAACGTATGATCCAGTAGTCCCAACACCGGTTGCTCGCACACTGTATGTTTCAGCCAATCAAAGACGTGCTGGCTCACTGCATTCCATTCCCACGCTCGACTTTTCTTCAACATGTTAGTGAATGGCGCGGCAATGCCTGAATACCCCTTAATGAACCAGCGATAGTAGTTAGCCAACCCGAGAAAAGATCTCAGCTCTTTTACCTTGACGGGCGACTCCCATTCTTGAATAGCACTCACCTTAGATGGTCCATCCAGATTTTACCATCTCCCACAATGTGCCCTAGGAACGGCACCTCATGCAAACCGAAACAACATTTCTCTTTTTTCACATATAGTTCATGCTGTCTAAGTGCCTCAAAAACCAGCCGTGAATGCTCAACATGATCATGCAACGAATGGCTATAGACAACAATATCATCAAGGTAAACAACTACAAATTTGTCGAGAAACGATTGTAGTACCTTGTTCATTAAAGTGCAGAATGTTGGTAGCGCATTTGTCAATCCGAACGGCATAACCAAGAACTCATACACTCCATATTGAGTCACACATGCAGTCTTGGATATGTCTCCTACATCTATCCTCACTTGATAGTACCTGGACCGTAAATTAAGCTTTGAAAACTAGCGCGCACTGCCTAACTGATCAAACAAGTCAGCTATGAGCGAGATTGGGTACTTATTCTTGACCGTCAGCTTGTTCAAAGCTCGGTAGTCGATGCATAACCTCAATGAACTATCGTGTGTCTTCTGAAACAAAACCGGAGCACCAAAAAGAGATTTGGATGGCCTAATGAACCCGACATCAATAAGTTCCCCAAGTTGTTTTCTCAATTCTGCCAACTCGGGAGGCGCCATCCGATACGGTGCCCTGACGGTGGCTGTGCCTTTGGCACCAGCTCAATGTTATGGTCCACTTCTCGTACGGGAGGCAAGTGGCCCGGCAGCTTTGAAGGCATTACATCCCGAAACTCCTCCAACACCTAAAGCACTTCTACCGGCACTTCAATCACGTTACCGGGGGTGTCCTCTAGGCTTAGACGGCAGCAAACGTCTGCTCACCCTTGCGTACGCCCCTGGCCAGCTACATGACAGACAGTGTTTTTGTCGACTGAGCGCGTCCCCGTCTAACCGGCACTACGCATTGCCCCTTTTGATCCAAAATACAAATGCAGTCATTGTGCAGCATAAGAACGGCTTGAATTCTATCCAAAAATCCGATCCCCATAGCTACATCATAGTCATCCATCGGAATGATCTCGATATCCACAACCCCATGCCACTATCCAAGCTGCACATCAATCCCCTTAGTAATGCCTTTCGTGCTCACTCTCTTGGAGTTCACAGTTTTCCCAGTCGCTGCACTGTCGGCCTTAATACCCAGCTTAACGGCGCACGCTTGGACACGAAAAGATAGGAAGCACTGTGGTCCACCAAAGCTTCCACCAGCTGTCCCGTAATAATCACGTTTGCGTACATGAGCCCCTTGGCTCCACTACCCGCCTTGCTTACTGCTTCCAGCAGCACTGAGCCCAATCGCGCTGCCTCATCCGATTATGGCTCCTTCTCCGAGGCAATCGCCATTAGTTTGAGCGTTTTGGGCAATCTCGAACCCAATGTGGTCCGTCACACAAGAAGTAGCTCTTAGGCTTGTCCTCCTTGTTTCAGTAAGGTTTCCCCTTCGATGCCGACTTGCCTTTCCACTTCGATTGTGGCTTGCCATCGCCACTATCCTTGGACTGCTTGCCCTTGTCCGCCCAGCCCTTGCCTTTATCCTTGGCCTTCTAGTGGGTTTGGGCCGCGCACAAGCTCTGTGCCTGGGGGCTGGTGGGCTGGTGCGCATGGACCATGCACAGGCAATCTGTCTGGACGTTGTGCGAGCCTGCGTGCCGTGGCCTAGGGCCTGCGTACCCCTCATCCATGCTGTGCAGGCCTGCGTGCCTAGCACCCCTACTATGCGGGCCGACTGGCCCAGGGTTTGCGTACCGTGTGCCCATGCTGTGCAGGCTTGCGTGTCACGCACCTCTGCTATGCGGGCCGGCGTGCCCCGGCCTGCATATCGCGCGCTCATGCTGTGCGGGTCTGAGTGCCGCACACCCCTACTGTGCTGGCTAGCACGCCTAGGCCACCAGCATGCAATCTGCTTGGCTCTGTGCAGGATGGCTCGCCCAGGGGCCTGTGCTGCGTGCCCCAGCTGGGCACCTTACACCTGCCTTCTGTTATCCAATGGGGGTTCTCTCCCAGCAGTACTCCCCCATATACTGATACTTCGGAACACCCTCGAGCCACCTCCAATGCGTTGAACTGCGGTCCGTGACATTAATCCTCTGTTGAAATAAAGTATGTGGTAGTAAGCTTGGCAACTCAACAAGCAATTTGGTTGATAAGAGCAAAAGGAAGCTTTAGTGATTCATTGTGACAATAAGTCTACCATAACATTGGCCGAAAACCTAGTTTATCCAAACCATACCAAGCAAATTGCAATCAAACATTATTTCATTTGAGAATCAATTGAAGACAGGGACAAGTGCGAGCAAGGCATAGAGAAGAATAGAGAGGGAGAGGCCTTGGGAGTACTTACGGGACAACACATTAAGGGGGAGAATGTTTTGTGTGTGCAAAAGATATGCGATCCCAAATAAGACCACGACCTAGTAGAGATCAAAGAGAAGGCATTGAATGTTTATACCATTGTTGTTAAAATTATAAGAACTCAATACGTACAGTATAATGCGATTCGATTTAGAATAAAATCAATATGTATTTATATGAATAATCAATTTTATTATGAACCAGTAATGAACCGATGGGTATCATACAACATGCGTATCAATATACTTAGAGTGCATTTGACTCTAACCCAATTAAAATTTGATCAGACACAATTATGTTTACATGGAAATTTTTTTTTTACTTTGAAGGTTTGAAACTTAAATAATATAAAACTATTAATTTTTCTCTCACTTTAATTATTGGGGTATTTGAAAATTTTACTTTTTGATTACTAATATTTCTATTTTTTTTTTGAAAGGCAATATTTCTAACTTTTGACGATTTTTTAAACTAAAAAATAGATATTAATTTGACAATGTAATTTCAAATATACAGTTCTACTTAGAAATAAGAAATCTGCAAACACAATGTTTTGTTTATTGGTACGATGCAAGAGGTCAAAAATATCTAATGTTTTTTGACTTTTAGTTAATAAAGTAACATGGAAATAAAATTTTTTATTTAAAAAGATATACTAATTAAGGAGCATAAGAAATATGTTAAGAGTTTAACTAAGTAGTCACTTTAAAAAAGAAAAAGAAAAACAAAATTTAGGCCATATAATCAATTATCCCTATAAACATTTTTTTTTTATTTAACATGTATACATAAAGGTGGCAACCAAACATTTGAATTGGATCGATTTAGGTTTGGACAGGTTGGGATTCTAGTTACAATTCAAATGATAATTAATTTTACATTTATAGTATGAAAGTTGTGTTATTGCAAATTTGAGTTGAATTGAATCAGTCTTGAGTTCAAATCATTCCTGATTCGGGTCTTTTTGAGTTTTGAGTCTTTGATTTTTTTTTTTTTGTCAATTTGAATTTGATTGAGTTTGAGTTTGGATTTCAAGCAAGAATCTGTGTTCAAAACATTGTACCACCTTTATGTATAGTTGGTTTTAAAATTTTTAATCAGGATAGGATATGATACCCATTTTCATAAATAAGATTTCAATTCACAATTCGTATCTCAATTTAAAAACTATAATAACGTAAATGGTGATGAGTTTTTAATTAAAACAAAAAAAGAAGTTTATAGCAAGACTAATAAATTTTCATAACCTTTTATCCTTTTGGCCCTCAAATACAAAGAGTCCAAATTACATATGTGGAAAGTACTAATGCTGACTATGAATTTGGCTCATTATATCATTTATAATTTTGGAAGATCTTTGATATTGAATGAATTAAGGAAGCTTTCACGTTCATTTGGAATAAATTCTAAGAAAGAACAAGCCAAGCTTTAAGTCAAGCCCCCTACAGAATTACATACATGCCGGTGCTTTACCTTTCAATCCTAGCCACTACACTCGCACGATGCACCAAATTAGTTTTCTGGTCTTTGCCAGGTGAATTTTCTTCTTCTTTCGCATTGAACGGCCTTGTATCCATCCTCTTAATCTCTTCTCCAGTGTAGATGAAGATCCTTCGAACCATGGTACAAAATTCCCTACATTTATACAAAATGGAAACTCAATCAGAATAACATATATCTAGAAACTTCGAAAAATGAATTACCTTTGGCGCTTTAAGGGTTTTTCATTAAGGTATTTATTGTAGACATATTTTCACTTTCAATGTGATGATTTCCAATCTGTTGAATGAGATAATCCCTTCAACAGTAACTTTAGCTACGGCATTCATTGGCACTAAGTCATATAATAAGTACTTACTGCCAGGGATCATCCCCTACAAGCATCATATCATCCTCATCGTCAGTAAATACAACCAGCCACTTCTTGTTGGGAGAAATTAATTCACCATTAAATTCAAAAATCCTATCTAGTTCCGCTATCAGTTCATCATAGCCATTGAACTTGGTCAGGTCCACTGACCTCCCAACAGCAATCCCCTGCTTGTAAACCTAAAAGAAAGAGGCAAATGCAAGTTAAATTTGCCGGACAAGAAAATTTGCTTCAACCAAAATTATCAATTGATTGAATCAGGGAAACCTTAATGCAAGTTCTGGCTGAACCACCCTGAAATTTTCTCAGAATGTCTCCTGGAAGCTCCTCTGATGTGTGCACAGGCTTGCCCTGTTCATCATCTCCTAGTGCAATCTCATCAAACTTGGAACTTTTTGATTGCTCCAGCATCAGATTACAACCTAAGTCCTGTGGATGGTCTGATGAAATTTGCCTGAGTGGCTTCGGAATTGATTTTGTGTGTGGTACAGATAGTTCCGTCAGCACTGTATTGCAGACAAGGGATATACCAAAAAGTTTGCAAATACCGTCTCCTTCAGATTTTACATTATCCTTGGGCTGTGAAGACTGAGGCTGTGAGTTCAAGATATCCACAGGAGGTAACTTTCCGGTATGTGTTATTGGCAGCAGAGGCAACAACCACTTCCCAGGCTGCTGCAGGAAGTCAGAACCTTGCGGTCTGTTGTACCCCTCAACTCCTCCAGGTCTAACAGGAAAATAATCCTGGTAATTTATTTTTTTCTCTTCTGCTCCCAACAAGTTGACTGAAGCACTTGAGCGCATCATTGGCTGTGGACATCCCGGCAACTCAAATAGGTGTCCCTTATCAAAAATATCTGTCTTCAATTGGTCGATGTTGGAAGAGCTCTGCTCAACAGAAGGCTGACCAAATTTGTAGAGCTTTTGGAGGGTCCAAGAAACTGGTGTGGGACTCATGCTCTTTTCTCCATGGATCACTTGAGGAAGTGTATCTTCTGGTGCAAGTCGTTGCTTACCAAAACCTGTCTCAGTTTGATCCTGTCCTTGTGATGGGTACTTATTCTCTGCTAAGGTGTCTCTCTGACTCAAGCTTTTTTGACCTTGCAAGGTTCTAGGAAACCCATTCTCTAGTGACGAATCCATGGTGGTTTTGGATGAACCTGGCCACATACAGCAAGGAGCTCAAATTTGTATCTCAACAGACAAGAACTGCAACACTACAACAGCATAGGAAGAATTAACAACACTTGAAAATGCCAAAAAAATCCAGTTATTTATACCTTCCCTTGTAAGAACCAATGAGTCACTAGGTGATGATGCCATGTTTGCACGGGGTCTTTTCAGTCGACTATTTGGAAGGACATCCACAGCAGGAGGCAGAGCAGGTTCTACTTTCCAAGGGGATACCCTGTCTGGGCGATGAAGCGGAGAAGTCTCATCCCAGTGCACCTTGAGGCATCTCCATTTTGAGCCAGGCCATCTGATGGGATCAGCATCTTCATATCCAATCACAGTGCCCGAGAACCTAGTTCAATCAGGGCATGACAGTGATCAGTGGAGAAATGAAGTTATTAATAGACTAATTTTCCTTTAATTCTTCAACTTCAAATTAATTCAAGGAAAACTTACCTCTGTTCAGGAGCCTCTTCTCCTTCAAACCTCATTTTGAACCTCAGCCCTATTGAATAGTTGTTTTTGATAGATTCCATATACTTATGAAATGGAACAATAAACTCAGCACGACTCGTCCTGTAATTAGATGAAGAAAGTAGAACCTAAGAGACCTATAACCAGAATGAAATAAAATTTGCACTACCGGACATTGATAGATTCAGACAGTGTAATCATTAGTTGGAGATATGCACAAGGACATAGTATATGGATACATGCGTAATAAATTACTCAGGAAAAAAAAATAACAGTTACTAAAGAAATTAGAATATAGGGAATAGCACACACCTTGGTTTGTAATAGACGGTGAACATTGTACCCGTTGAAACAGCATGCCATGCTGTTGCAAGGACTCCGATATGCATACTTTGACTTGATATCACTGAAGAAGAAACATTGCTTGCCTGTCTCATAGCTCGTCTCACCCCTACACGAAGTTCCCCAGTTTCACCCCTGGGAATAACAATCCCAAGGTCAGATTCACCTAAACTATCATAGAATCAACTGTGTCCTGTATAGTTTAACTGGTTTCCTATGCTGACTGCAATATGGTTCAAGTACAACAACCATTAAACAATAACCAACCAATAATTGAACAAAACTAGGATTATCTATCATCACCGCTAACTGAAAAATGAAAACCAGTAGTACACCTGAGGAAAATAAAAGCATCGCCTGCAACAAGTTTTTTGGAGCTGACAAACAAACTCCAACCACTTTGAAGTAGATGCCTCCTTGGTTGACCTAGCATTTACAATTCAGAAACAGATACTTAGGTCAGCTGAAACAAGATTACCAACATTTATGTATTGGTGACAGTCACATGCCAATCATAGATGCGTCAAGAACCAACTCTAGAAACCTCAACAGGTTGAGCGATACATAAGTAATTAAATGCAAGTCAAGATGATTAATAACTCAGACAAAACCAAAATAAATACTTCATAACATGAAATGGCTCCATCCAATGTCATTCAGAAACCAACACATTTCTTTCAAACAGAAAAGGAGCTTACCCAAATATTGGAGCCATTATTTTTCATTCGTAGCTTGCGGATTAATGCATTCTAATGATGACTTTTATTGGTAAAGGCCATTACATAGTAAGCCTAGGGAATATTCGAATCCTCAAGCATCGTAGTAACAACTAACAAAAGCGTGTATTTGCTATGATGAACCACAAGGACCAAAACATTGAGAGAGGAAAGAAGAAGCCTCAGAAGTCTATGTGCATAACTATTTAAGCACATTGATCCTATTAAGAAATATTATATTCAAATATCAAGCAATTAGATGACTATATCAAGAAACCAACAATTACCTCGAAATATGTGGCGGAAACGCCACTCATTTTCATGTAAATCCTTGGCTACCAACTCTTGAGTGGGAGGTTGCTTGGACATGTCCTGCAAAAAGAGGCAGACAACTCTATACATATACCTCTCACAACACAGAATTCGAAAACATAACAAACAATAAATAGCCGACTGGAAGAGCGGGAAAACCAGAGGAGGCAGGCATTCATCGGCGTGACGCCTCAACACAGAAAATCCCCCATGAGTGCTCGTATCAGATGCCGTGAGGGTCTTGCAGAATGAATGCACACGGGCACGTTGGGCCGGAGGCAACTCTCCTTCCTTCTCCACCGAGTTCTCATCTTGCTGCCATGCCCGCGCCTTCAGATTTCAGTTAGTACATTATTAATCAAATTTTCAATGAGCATGAATTAATATCCAAAGAAAGGAGCATAAGAACTGGCTTACTTTAGGCAAAGGAAGCAGAGACACTTGAGCAAACACTTCATCGGTGTCTGATTCGGCCTGCAATCAAAATAGTTAAGAAAGGGAAAGAAAAGAAAAACCTCATTGACAGAAATATAAAGCTTTGTGTTGAGGAGTTAAAGCAGTACTTTTAACTGAACGTTGACGACACGACAAAGTATTTTTGGTGGAAGATCGTAAGCTGGCATCTGTTGATCAGAAACTTGATTCCTCGACGCTTCAACCTGAAATTGTCAAAGTTTTTAGCCCAAGTACAGAAAATAAAAGACATAAAAAGGAATTCCAAAAAAAAAAAAAAACCTGCTCTATATGGCCTTGAAGAAAATAGAAAACCAAGTCTCCTTGTCTCGGCCACCGTCGCCAAAGGACCCGCACATGCATGCCAAAGCTCCCTGTACAGCTCATCTCCGGAATCCACCGCACCATATCCGATCGATTTCTTACCGGTCACGGGAGCTGAACCGTGTGAAGCCATCGCAGCATCGTTATAATCCATGGGTTATATTTAAACTAAAACAAATAATCTCGAATCTTTGGGGGGGGGGGGGGGGGAGGAGGGGAATATTAAAGTGAAATGAAGGAGTAGGAGGGAGGATGTTTTGCTGAAAGGGGAGTCCTAGATAGCTAGAGACTCAGAGCGCCAAGTGATGGAGCGGGTTAAACAGAAAAAATGTGATCCCTCCATTTAAAACAATTGCTTTTGGATCGCTTTCGTTTCATCATCTCCTCCGTCCCTTTTCGCTGCCACGTTTTCTCTCTCTTCTGCAACAACAGTAATCGCTGCCATTAGTATTCGTACAGTGAAGGGTCTCACCACTGCCTGTAACCAGTCTCTCTCTCTCTTCTTTCTTTTTCTTTTACCCAGCCAGAGACTCAGATTCTTATGTGCAATTATTTCAATCGTAAAGTTATCATATCGCACTACTGGCAACCGGTACTCCCGGTCACCGTACCCTAAAGCTTCCTCTTTTTCCTTTGTCCACCGGTTTACCCGCAGCGCGGAGATTTTTAAATCCAGGTCAGCCTGATTGACGGTTTCAGTTTAACGCCGTAATGATTGCCGGGATACGTGTGGGGTTCTGCTCGGTAAACAGTAAACGACGTTTGTCTTTTCGCAAACGGAAAGTTGCTCTGACTTAGGGGAAGGGATATTTTGTCCTGTTATTAAGAGGCAGGATCAGATGAGGTCTCCAATAAAAAATATGAGAGAAATCACATCATCCTAAGTCACCAACCAATGAAATCTCTGAAACCAGTTGAAAGCTCCGTTAGAATAATAAACACGTGTGGCTAAGATATCTTTTTATAGACTCTAGAGGGTAAAATTCATCAGCTCTAACAAAAACCCAGATTCCCGCGGCGTAGTGACATTGTCGCCTGACCAGAGGCTTCCAAAATTTTCATCTAGTTCCTGGTCGGCTCATGCCGATGATCACGCCAATCGCCAGCGCGTGTCACTGCTAGCTTTTTTTAATAATATATTATAATTAATTAACTATGTGCTGAAGGTAAAAATATTGTAAACTTTACGAGTACAATATGATAATAAGATAACATTACTGGATGTAGGGACGTCCGGATTATAGTATAGACCGCCTTTTAGAAAAATCCAAATGCAATTATTAGTCAAATTATTAATAATATATTTAAATAATAAAATTATTAAATTATTAATTATATTTAAATAATATCATATTACTAACAATATTATTATTATTATATATTGTAAATTAATATGTAATTATAAATTATATATTTTAAATGATAAAAATTATATATTAATATTAATATATGATTAATAAATATCTAACATATTAATATTATAATTATTACACTTATATAGTACACAATATTGTTTTGTCTATGTAAATCTATATGTTACATATAAATATGTTATATTAATAGGTTATAAATATTAATATATTTAATCTATATGCAAACATTTCTGCTTACTACATACTTATTAACATATTAAATAGGTTATATTTAATAATAATTATTATGCTTATATCCTAATATGCTATGAACAAGTTATAAATATTATTATATTTAATTTATATATAAACATTACTATATACTCATTATAATAAAATAATTTGTTAGTTATCATTATTATATAAACAAAACTTGTAATTTACAAAAATTATAACTTATAAAATTATTAGTGTTGTATTTATGCTTACATCAATAGAATACTTTAAAGTATTGTTATTAAGTGATAATAATTATTAACAACCTTTGACTTATATGTACAAATAAGAACATAATAGAGATAATAAATATAACTTATAAGTTGTTATTTCAGATATTTGTTTTTGGTTATTCAAGTTGTTATTTGATATATTAATTTTTTGTTATTTAAATTTAAATTTTTTTATAAATTTAATTATTAGTGAATTGTATGAATGTGAAATATATTTTATTATTATTTACGAGTACAAGCACATATTCAAGTATATGTAAAATTTTATTACATAAATGGATTCAAATAATTATCAAGTAGTAAATATGGCAATAGAGTTCTGGTTCAAATAGTAAATTCAAAAATATTTAGGTAGTTGCAGGTTTGAATACCTAAAAATTAACAAGTAGCTTAAAATTAGTAAGTGCCTTACCCATTGACATCCCTATGATTGTTAGCTTAAGGAAGTTCATCTATCTCTTATTGATGTTAGATTCATGACAAGCATCAGGTGACATAAAATGATAAATAAGATTTTGACTAATAACAATTAGTCAACCATTTGTCATAAAAGCTTATTTTGCTTAAAATAAAAATACAAGAAGTTAGTCAAATGTAATAAAAAAATAAAAACTTATTTAAATAATTCAAAAACTTTTTTAAGTATTATGCAATTTATTTTCAAGTAGTGAGAAGTACTAGTAAATTTAAAGAATTTAGCATATTAAATATATAAAAGAAAAGAACTTCTTGTTATCCAATGTAATAAACATCTATCAACATTTTCTTTTCTTTATATTCTTTTGGAGTATTGTCATGTAATCAGGGAAATTTTGCATCTTTAATTATAACAAAACCAATGGTTTTCTCCATATTTATTGAATGTCTAAGAAATTTCAATATAAGTAGCATGTACATGAGCTCAAATTAATTAATTTCTGCAACATGCTTTGTTAAGCCACTAAATACATATATGTGATGCTTTAATTGGAATTCAATACTATAAGCATTCTTTAAAATATACGCATACACACACAATAAATATATGGGTAAATTAATATTGAAAATGAATAGTTGTTCCAAAATAATATGTCTTTAGACACATAAATTTTGTCGTCAGTCCATCGTCTGAGTTTCCATCTACTTGATGATATAACATAAACTCTATACCTATTTTACCATTTCTATTTCTCATTCTTTTTTTTCTCATTTTCCTTATCTCTCTTCTTTTTTTTTCATTTTCCTTATCTCTCTTCTTTTTTTAGTTTCTCTCTCTAAGAGCTTCTTTCTCAAATGCTGACCACCTTTTTCAAATTTTGTTAGTGTATTTTTAAAACAAAATGATTGTCTCTTCAAATGAAAAGTTATCTTAACTCAAAAGTTATATTACATAGTGTGATATAATATGATTCTTGGATTATAGGTAGTTTTTTATGTGAATAGTTGTCTCTTAGTAAAGTTATATATTGAAAAAATATCTCTAAATCCAAAGGTTATGAGACAACAAGAAAAACACTATAGCTCAAAAGTTTGGATATGAAAAGTTATCTTTTAATATTATAGCTCAAAGATTATGTCTTTTGGAATGAATGGTTATCCTTTCATAAGATAATTATTAAAACTATATCTTTTCCAAGGATTGTGTCTTACAAAATGTAAAGGAATCTTTAAGACAAATAAATGCCTTGATGAAAAGGTTATACCCTTGAAAAGAGACACTTGCAAGCCTATATAAAGAACATTTTGATACATCAAAAACAAATAAGATAAGAGCAAAAATATCAAGAGTAAGAAAAGTGTTATGGTTTTAAAATTAATATAAACACGTAAGTTCCCATCTCCTATCAAAAGAGTCTAAATTCTTTGTAATCTACCTGCTACAGAAAGTAGACTCTAAGGCCAAACAACTTTACAAACCTTTAAGTGTATTTAGCAGTTTATTCTTGTTAAGTGCAATACGAAGTTAGACATTAGCTTTATTGTATCTCTAAGATTATTCCCATAATTTTTTTTACATACAGAGTGATAGGAGCAAAATAAATTTTAAAGATAGCATTTATTAAAAGACTTGTCGTAAAGTAAATTTTGTCAGTTTATTGAATTCCATCTAAACTCCATTTGCACCAACAAAATTTGGCATGTGGCCATTGCCTTCAGTTGTGAATAGCCTCTAGCCGCCACTCGACAGTGTTTAAAAAATTCTTTCGAGTTTTTTTTTCAATCTACCCAACCAACAGCTCAAGAGCAACGTTCCCTTTCAAATTAAAGAAGAACATATAATTACTCATGTGCCAGAATAGAATCTATGGCATGACAATGGGAAAAGAGAGCAAATTCCCTCTTCTTTTGGAACTTCAATGTAACAACAAAATGCAAAAGGCGACATTATAGTATAAAAACCTTTGATTGAGGATTTGACGCCGCTTACTCTTCAATTGCAAAACCATGATGATTGGCTTCTAATGTCAAAGTAGCAAGGAAAACTTGTGGCTGAAAGAGCCAAAGTTGGAAATGCTGTTATAGGTCGTGCTAGTGCACCTATATGTTCACATGCTTATTTATTTCTAAAGGTTGAGATTTATGCATTACCTTTATATGGTTCCGTTTTGATCCCTTTAGCTTTCGAATAATCTAATAACAACTATTGGTAGAGGAGTTTTTTTTTGTTTTTTCTCCCTTATAAAGAGCACCCATAATTCTTTTAGTTAGTCAACAAAATTGCAGCTTTTTGTAAAAGTGCATGGCAGCGTAGGGCTGTAATGCCTAACTTGTACAATTGAGAATTTCACCTAAAAATGAAACACGAGAAGAATTTGTTAGAAATTTTTAAGAGAAAGAAGAATATGACTTTAAGGGTGTGAATAAACACTTTCCTTAAAATATTTATTCAACCTTCAGGATATAATAAAGTTCTTAACACACTTATCAAAATTGTGAAAATAGCAGTATAATAACATTCTTTATATAATAAGCCAACATATACATCTTTCAATGTAAAGATTTGTTTCTTTTCATAATATAACTCTTCAACCAGTGTTTTCTTTCATAACACAATTCGAGTGTTATCATTGTGGAAAGAAAAGACATTTTATCAAGAAGTGCAAGTTCACTTAATTTAGAAACTAGAACTCGTAACTCATGTACTTGATCTATAATTGATTTGGTATCTATTATGGTAAACTCAAAGTATATTAATGCAAGAAATTTATCCACACCATTTTTTTCCTTTTTGTACATTTTCTCAAGTGCAGTCTAATTTTTTTTTTTTTGTAGTGTTATGTTTGAAGAAATCATACAATTAATCAGTGAGAGAATTGAGAATGTATTCAAGACATAAACTTGACATGTTTTCCTTTCTCCATGTTAACATTAGCAGTGGTTGCTATAGTAATTGTTGTTGCAGTAATGTTATTATTTGTGTTGTTTCTATTAATGTGATCTCTTTTGAAATTGATAGTTGATCTACCTCAAGAACATAATAAATCTTCAATGTGGTTAATAAGAATACCATCTTGTCCCTCTATTTAGTGAAATTCATTCTATTGAATCTATCGAGTTTGATTACTTCTTGATTTTGGAAGTAAACCTTCACACTTGAATTTGGTCTAGTCTCCATCACGAAACAATTACGAAAAAGATTTAAAGAAATACTTTAAGATTTTTAGAAATTTTTAAGAAAAAGAAGAATATGACTTTGAGAGCGTGAATAAACACATTCTTTAAAGTATTTTTTCAACCTTTAGGATACAATAAAGTCTTTAACACACTTACCAAAATTATGTAAATAACAATGTAATAACATTGTTTATATAATGAGCTAACATATTCATCTTTCAATGTAAATATTTGTTTCCTTTCATAATATAACTCTTTAAACAATTATTTACTTTCACAATTAAACTACTCAAAAGTTATATTTAATATGATAACTTTTTATTACTCTTCAGTCACAACTTTTTATCAATAAGCACTTTTCATAAATATCATTTTATTATTTAATCCAAAAGTTAGAATAATAAAATTATTTATTTATTAATATTTTAGTCCAAGAGTCCAAATACTAATATTATCAAACTATCTAACAGAATTTATCTACATTTCTTTTCAAAAGGAACTTAGGTGATATGAGAAAAGGGGTCCGCTCCGTGGATACAAAATTGGCTACAACACAACTACCCAACACAAACAACCAAAAACCTAAGCACTAAAATGTTACAAAAATAGACAGCATCTAAGTACTCTTCATACAGATTCAGAAGTTCTTTAAGGAATTTACATCTCATCTTTACAAAACACAAGCAAACCACACTCTACGGTGCAACCTGTCCAAACTATATACAACTCTTCCAATAGTTGACAGAATTGATATTAAAATAAAGATTTATGCTTTCAAAAAAGAAGATGCAAAAATTCAAATTGAAGTTTTCTGGAAATATAGTGGTCTAATCCTAAAATCTTATGATCTCCATCCAAAATACCCTTTCATCCATCCTTTCTACTATGAATTGATGGAGTTTCCCGAAGAATTGAAATGGATGCTCATAAGTATCATATTGGTATCCAACTTCACATTACAGACTTCTTAAAATTCATAGAAAAAGTGATAAATGGAGAAATAGAAACGTGGAGGAAGAAATTTGTGGATATCCTCACATGGTTTTACTCATTTTTACACTGGAAAGAGCTAACTATATCAAAGGCAGGAAAAAAAAGAGATGGTCATTTCCATCATTTACAAGTCTCAATATTTTGTGACACATGAAAAAGTCACCTAGCTTGGGGCATTTCCCTTAGCATATGCATATAAGTCATTCCCTTGCAATATAAAAGAACTTGACCAAGAGTATAGAACATTTCAAAGGCGCATTTGCCAGCACAATAGGATCATCCCTGGTCATATTTGGCCTTCACCAAAGATAGAGATGTCCATGGATTATTTCCTTGAGACACTTGGACCTTATCATGACCAGATTAAAACAGCATTAAAAGAATAAAATGAAGGGATTCTTGATTCTCGTGAATAATTTCAAGACCTTTGGGAGTAAGAAGAAATAAATGAAGATAAGATTACACAACTCTCTATAAAGCCACCTTGTAAAACGTGTAAAGGACATTGCGATACAAACCCCAAGGCCCTCTGTCTACATGAGTATATCTGCAGAGAAAAGAAGTAATAGATGATAGTGGAACCCAACTTTACTTTTGACCTAGAAATAGATTATAACTAAAGCAAAACCTTTTCTTTATAAAAGTTTGTAAGAATGTCAGTATTATCACTATGCTTGTATCTTTATCTTTTCAATCAGTATCTGTACATGTATTTTTATCTTTTAGTTCATTATGTAAAACTTGTGTACTAGTATATCTATCTTTTTCACTATGTAAAGTTTATCGTTTCCTACTCCTTAATCTATAAAAGGAGAAGACCTATTGTAATGAAAGCTAAAATACCCTTGGAAATACAATTGTGTGTTTCTTTCAACATGAGTTTTTAAATCCTTCCCTTTCTTTCGTAGGGATTATTATGAGAAATAAGCATAATTCTCTCATAAGTTCAAATCCTTGAGTATGCTCTGCACTTGTCATTTCTGATGAAACCTGTGCACCAAAAAGAGATTTGATCTCAAAGACGTATCAAACATATTGATATTGATTGGATTGAGCAGGGAAGATGAATCGTGTTGTTTATTGAAAATTATTCTTGTAACTAAAAGGCACACACCATTCTTGAGGCTAAGAGAGCTGTGTTCTGTGACCAAGGCATACCTGTTACATGGATTTCTTTCTCTTATATAGTTCTGTCTTCTATCTTGCCCATAGAGTCTAGTCTTCACTATCTGTTTGGTATCAAAGACATACTCCTAGAATTGCTGTTTATTTCTCCTGATAAAACCTAAGAGAGATTCTTCCAATCATGACCTTCTCAATAAAAAAAATCTACTGTTATAAATAATGCTTCTATTTCTCTAGATCCATGTCTTTCTAGAATATCTATATCCAAATTAGATTTCTTATATGAAGTTGATTATATCCAGCACAATTATCTCTTACTAACCCCTATTTTACTTATACAAAGTCATACATTACTATTGCATTAAATATATATATAAATAAAAAATAATAAATATAATTCCATTTCATATAATAACAAAAAGTGAATTTAGTTAAATTGGCAAGGCTATTAGTAGTCTAAGAGCATTATCCAAATTTGATTTCCCTAAAAATATATAATATATTATATAAATATATACATATATATATATAGACGAGTTCGAATGTCGAGTATTCAAAAAGTAATACATGTACCCTACTCGAAATAATAGTATAATTTCACCCGAACTTATCCTAAACTCAAATATAAATTACTTGAATTCTATGTAATTGGATCGGATAGGGTTCATTGGATCAAACACTTATGGGTACTTGATTATTATTTACCAGTTGACATCCTTTTGAAGAAATAGAATCATAGATACCTATCTTAACACTACATCATTCAAGTCTCATGTTCCTGTTGCGGAAAGATTGAAAAAGACTGGAACATCACGAAAACAATTTTGAAACCAAATTCAGATGAAACAGATCCAGTGTAATCATAGCCTTGGTGGCTACATTTCAGGGCCAATCTGGGGTTGCAACTTATACAATATTCATCATAACATTCCTCATCCACGCATATATGGCATTCTCACAAGTACAAAGAAAACAGAAATCGGACACCGCACTCTCCATGGATTCCTGGATGAGCAAGAGACGCCGCTGGCCTTGGGCCCAAGGGTCTTGATCTTCAAGACTCTTGCTATGAATCAGCAATCCGTTACTTTTGCACCACAATTGAGTCCGAACTCTTGGGCCTCCAGCAAAATTATAACGACATTTGGCACAGTTGGCATGTCATGATATCGAACATATACATATACATATAGAAACAGAGTTGTCACATTGAAAATCTAGAATTATTGGTATTGGCCCAGTCATAAAACACCATTTTGCAAGCGCATCTAGCAGCGTGGCTGAAGTTACCGAGGGACCATGGTAGACAGGTTCTTCCTGGCAAGGCCAAGTGATGTCCACCAGCAAGAATCTGACTCAATTACACTTCTCTCGGGACCCCCCTCCTGGTAAAACGCTACTCACTGACAAGTCTGCTAGTAATTACATCGAACACATGGTAGGGTCTTTCATTTGTTTTTCACTACGCGTAAACCGTAGCAAGTACCCATCACTCTTAGCAGTTAACCCATATCATAATTCGCTATTTTTATGATTTTTTTTTTTGTGTGTGTTCGTATTTCATGGGTAATGTAAAATTTTGCAGTGGGAAGACTTCGTTGCTATTCCAGTTTGCAATCAACTCAGCGTTAGAGTGCAGCTCTAGCAATCGTAAAGTGGTTTTTATATGTAACCGGCGAAGGCTAGAAAACAAGCCCCCTTATTTGTACCAGGTACGTGCCTTTCTTTCTTTTGGAGCTTGTTACAGTGCTGATAACTTTCATTTACTATGGATATCAAAATTTTCAGGGCATTGATCCATCCTATGATGTCTTTCAGCGAATAAAAATGAAGTAAGGAGCGTCCTTGGAACGTCTTAATGGTTAAACATTATGATACGAACTGCACTTTCGTTTTTGGCAATGCTAATTCTCTATTGAATATTTGAATTCTGGTGCTTTTCTTGAAGATATGCTGATGATGACGATGGGATCAAGAAGTACTTCGCTGCATTTCACCTTCACGACACGTTTCCAGCTGCAGTTATCGTTGATGATTTTGGAAATTTCTTCGAAGAAAGGTATGGTACTTTGCTACTAGTTCAAGCAGCCTATTTATACAGAATATTCATTTTCCCATCCTTCTGAATCATCAATTAGGAGCTGTCAAGAGAGATATGGTAATCCTCGTGGAAGAGACTTGGCAATGGTTCGGACTCTAGCTTTGTGTCAAAATGCAATAACCCATGCATGGTAAGCCAATCTTTCACTGGAAAAATGCTTCATCTTGACGTTAAAGGAGTATAATGCACCAATTATTCATGGCTTATTTGTAATATTTCATTTTATGGCATCTTTTAAGATCACTTTTTTATAATGAACGTTTTAAATATATTTAAATTTCAATTACTCCATCAAATCATGATGCCATGTCCACGTGAAATTTCAATTATTTCAATTATTCCATCAACATGAATATTTACATCATGTTGAGTTGCGATTCTTCATTAATTTTTAATAGTGATTTGTTAGAATGGATAGATTTGAAATAATTTTAAAAAACCACGGATTCAAAAATTGAATTTTTAAGATTTGTGCATAAAAATGAAATGTTGCACACAAGGAAGGTGGATGTATGGTGCAATTTGCTCGGGTAATGGCAGATACTAACATGAAATATGCGCAGTAAAAAAGGGCCTTGCAAGCTTTTACTATCTGATACGCACCATGGGGACTCTCCAAGGTTGCTATTTATCTACAAGAGATGGATTTCCGCCATTTTTACAGTCAAAGGTTTGTGTTTGAAGTCGCTTAACCTTTGTTTGTGATGCGCTAGCATGTTGATGTGTCTAATAAAGCATCTGCCATGGCTTGATTTTATGGTCACTATTCTTTTCTCGTCTTGCTTTTTCTTTGTTTTTCTGTTAATACATAAGTTATTTGATTATTTGTGCTGAAGGTGATGGTGCCGGATCATTTCTATTGAAATATAACAAGTATCCAGGAAATGGCAGTTCTATGAGCAAAAGAATAGCAAAGTACTCCATAGCGTTCCAGTATTTGTTTTTGGAGGAGATCACTGAGGATGGTGATGATGAACAGTAGTAATGTTACCAAACTTCATTGAGATGTAGAATATTAAAAGAACCCACCTTGGTGGAGGTTCCTTGAAGGGATTGCTGAAGACTGAAGATGGTGAATAACAATGTTGTTGGTTGATTTCATTTCACTAGATTTTGGTACCCGAATCTGTCCATACTCAATGAAATCTGCAATTTTATTGATTAACATGTTGATCTGATGTACATTCAAGTTGTGCCTTCATAGGGTATTTTATAGTTGATACCCATTGTTGTCATTATGTCTCCTTGAGATCACGTTTTCAGATCTTAAACAAACGAGTTTTTTAACTGAAATGTACTTTCACTTCTTCTATTCTGGTTTTTGGTAAACTACACTGCCAATTTGTAAGGCCCTGCCTTTTTTAAAGCTCAATAGTAACTACCTTTCACTATAAAAGGCAATATCTGCTGATCTGAACTTGTTTCCTACCCTCTTTTATCTCTGTTGATGCAAAGTTGGGATCATCATGCATAGATTTCTGTAAAATTGCATCTCAGAAATGATAAAAATAACATAAGCTAGGGCCGTGAAGGAAGCAGTAGAGGCAGTGATGGTTATAATCCATTATGGTAGCCGATTCTAATGACAGCATTTACTCGGCTGAATTGTGGAATGGTGATGTTGATTTGTACAAATAGTATGTTTGGTAAGAGAGAAAAACAGTGTTTTCTATAACAGGGTTTTTTTCCTTTTGTCCCGACCTCAACCAGCAGTCTTTGCGAGATGAATTTCCTTAAAATGTTTAGACTATTGCCATTACTCTACGGAAAAATAAGTTCATGATAGCTTCAAAATCAGGATCATTATTCAACAGCTATGTCAGATGCATACAACAAAGTCAAGTCAGTCGGTTACAGATAAATTAAACAGAAGGTATAATCAACTTATTTATATGCACTTTTAGGTTACCTATTAGGAATTAATGGACTCCTGTCTGGTACTCGGGCTCACAGAATTCTCCTCCAAGATCATCACAAGCCTCTCCTAAGAAGACCCTGAAAATATTGACCATATCAAAGGAAAGGCAATTGTTAAATCTTAGTATTTGTTTCATTTTGTTCAACTGCAATTTTCTAAGTCTGAAAACTACCAAGAGTATCTGAAGATCTTACGTCTTGGGACTATTATACTCCAGGTATTCTCTGTCAATCTGCTCTGAATCAGCCATAGCCTTGGTGCCTTGAGCTTCTGGCGGCTCTAGCTTCACTTCAGGGTACATCTCAACATCACAAGCTTCTCCTCCAATCGTCTCACATGCCTCAGCTGGAAAAACACTGCCATAAACCACTTCGAATTAAAATCAAATAGTCCAAGCACATGATGTAGATGAAGCCCACAGGTGATGAAGAGTGAACTTACGAGGACATGGAGCTGTAATCAACAGTGGAGTTGTCCTGTGCAACAGGTGTTCCTTTTATCGGGGAACATCGAGGAGTCTGCGTTTTAAGCATGGACTTCCATGGCAGAGCCAAAGTCTTGGTGGGTGTCACTAAGGCTATGGAGAGGGGTGAAGGTGTTAAGCTTAAGGCTGCCTGCATTTGGTAAAGCTGGTTTTTGGAGCAAAATACTTTGTATTGAGTTGTTTGGTTACTTACTGACATGAATATATAGATAAGGTAGAACTGGCAAGATTCTGTTTATGGGAGTGGATAAGGTACATATCTGGTTTCACTGAGTGTGGCGGTGATGTCTCCGGGGCTCTCAATCAGCTTAAGATTTTTTCACTACCAAACACCGACAATTGTTGCTACAACCCGCTTAGAACTCGACAAAAAGCAACTAGGCCAAGGTCCAGAGGAGGAAATTTCATGACTATTTTTGTGGTCTGGCTTTTAAATTGGGTTACGGAAGCCCAACACTGACCCAAAATCTTGCTTCTGGCTTCATAGATATCAGGCATCAATTCTTTAGTTGCTTACATGGTTTGCGATTTCAACGTGTCCTCTCCTTTTTTAAAATATATATATATATATAATTTTATATTTACATAATATTAAAGTGAGAGTGAAATATAACATAAATTTATTATTATATATCAATATATTATATTAACGTGAAGTAATATAAAATAATAAATAAAATTTTTATTAATTATTATCATAAAAATGTACTTAATTCAATATAAAAAAATAAAATTTGATATAAATTTCTTAAAATAATTCAGAGGCGACCACATCCATACCTTATAGTTCAAAACATTCTTACTTGAACGAGAACTAAACTCAAGTGGTAAATGTAGGATGTGATTAAAGTAAAGTTTATACCAAGAAAAACAAAAGAAAAAAAATTTCTTAAACAGGGTTTATCTAAAGAAACATCATGTATGCTTCTGGGTAGAAAGACGGATAAGCAGCATCTTCTCTCTTTTTAATTAAAAACATGTTTAATATTCTCATCCATACCCTTTTCTAAAAGCACTGTCGCTCTAAAAGTCTGCATACTGTAGCTTTGCTTCTGTTTCTGTTTTCTTATTGATTTTTGATGCAAAAGCTAAAGCCAGCCACAGTGTTGGCCTAATATTCTTAAGCAAGTTTTAATACTGAGTTGAGATAATATAAAAAATAGAAAAGTAATGAGCAACTACCAGAAGCATAGGGCATTTGGAGTGAGGGGTTAATAACACAGCTGTGAGGAGCAGCTTAACAGTGTTTTGATTTGAAGTCAGGCAGAGGCAATCACCCTTTTGGTTGGAGCATGCGATGCTGCTCCTTTTGGTCCCCGCCGCATGACCACCACACACTTTCCAGGCTCCCTAGGCATATAAATTGCATGAGGATACGTTTTGATTGGTCACACAACTTTTCCAAAGCTAAAAGCTAATCTCATGCCAGCTATTCCTATCACCCCTCCAAGCATGAATAATTGTTTACGAGATTGAAGTTTGTTTCCTTGTAGTTATTCGATTGCTGTGAGCAGGCGAGGGCCGAGACCTTTCTTTCAACTCGACTTCTTGTCACTGCGAATAAAAAGTCAACATCCCACCATACCACCAAACCGTATTGGACTTTGCTCTTTTGAGGCTGAAAGAAAATGCTACTTGTAACAACCATTGCAACATGCATCCTACTCATCCTTAGCATTGCCCATCCATTACTCGTATCTACTTAACGACTCTGATTTCGAAAGCTTTTGTCGACATAAAAGACAATCAAGAAACAAAGATAAAAAAATAAAAGGATGCAGCTTGATTTAGATTTTAGGCAACAATTCCATTATATATGCTTGAATAAAGGAAAAGTTCTTGTTCCTCTGTTTGACTACAAGCTCAAGATAGGCAAGAAAAACACATTCAAATTCAATCCAACTCCACCAGTAACTTTTGAATTTTGTTTCCAAAATCATGTACCATCAATCTCATTTTTCAGGAGAAGACACCTGTCTTCCTATTACAGCCAACTTGAAAAAGCATTTATAGCAGGATGATGTACAAGTTGAGTACCAGACCATACTGTTACCTGGAAAGAACCAACAATACATACGGTACAGACAAGAATCTCAATCCTCATCCCTGAGAACCCATGAAGAAAATTACCATAACTAGTTGATTTTAATGCAAAAAGCACCCGTGATATTCCAACAGAGTTTTGCCAACATAAAGACAACCAAGAAAACCCCACCATAATTTGGTTGTTTAAGGACACAATAATGCAGATGTGTCCCACAGTTATCTGATCAAAGAGTCAATGTCTGAGTTAGAAATCTCCTTGACCACCTGTCTTGACTTATAGCATTAGCCATGTACACAATACCATAAGCCCAGTCTCTAATAAGAAAACATTAAGACTTGAAGAGAGCATAAATGAAACCAATGACGGTTGAGAGCAAGATGCCTGGTCTCTTCACATGTTGTAAATGGGTTAGAGCCACAGCAGCTTCTAGACCAAAACCCTCAAAGTAAAGTCCAAAAATATCCTATCCCTGGAAGCTGAGGAGGCTTGAGTTTCAATATACTTACATTTTCATCAAAAACTATGCAGCTGGGTTAACATGGGAACAAGCTCATCACTAGAAGGCCTATCAGCAGGCAAATCTGATAGGCAGACGACAGCAATTCTCACTGCCATCAGCATCTCATCTTCCTCTACTTCTTCACCAACAATACTTTTATCTAGTGCTTCTCGTGCCTCACCTGCCTGCTGTAAATGCCGAAGCCACTGCCCTAAACTCCCTCCACTGGCTGCTTCACCGAAAAATGGATCAGTGGGATCTCTACCAGTCAAGAGAACACCTAATATCATCCCAAAGCTAAAGATATCACTCTTATCAGTATACCTGTTGGAATTGAAACTATCCATCTATGTTAGAACAGCATGAGGTTTAGTGTTTCACAAATTGGAAATAGCATCAACAAATAACAGGGGTCAGTAAACAAAACATAAGTGACTTTTTCTATTAAGAAAACATGAAAGCAAGGACATAACAGAAAATAACAAAGCTCTTGTCCAATCCCAATTGCTTTATATTCATGATTCCATTTACTGCCGCATGTCTGCCAGAAAAACAAAAGAGCACTGCTTTCAAAAACTAGCATGCATTATAAGTTCCAGTGGAAGACTGGAAAAACTTCAAGGAGACCTATGAAAAAGACCAATATATGCAAATTTCCAACATAAGTATCTGAAAATTAGTTCCAAAGTGAAATATCAATTGCCATAGATAAATTAGTTATGCATATGTTGCGCATAAGAAAAGAACAAACAACTATCAATATTTGCAACGAACTTCATAACCGGATTCCTGATTATACTTATTAAGGAATTGCAAGAAACTATCCTCAGGGATATCAACATGGAGCTTCCTACTGCATCCAATTCCAACCATAAGTCACACCACAGATTTAGTAAAGCACGAAATTCTTACAAAACTAAGATACGGTAACCTTTAAATAGCAGAACAATTTCAGTACCTGCAGTTCTCGAAACACTCAGGAGCACCGTAACCTGAAGTTGCCCTATCTATATTAGGCATGAGCTTAGCCAAGCCACAATCTGCCAGCCTTGGTTCGAGTTCAGCATCTAACATCACATTCGTGGGTTTCAAGTTGTAGTGCAAAATCTGAGGGATGCAAGTAAAGTGAAGATATTGAAGGCCTTTAATCACCCCAACAGCAATCCTAAGCCTGACATCCCATCCAAGCTGCAACTGATTGCCCCTAACTCTATTCATTGCATCCTCAAGGCTCCCCGTGGGCATGTAATCATAAACCAAAGAAAACCTATCAGATTCACGAACATAAGCCCTTAAACTCATCAGATGCCTGTGCCTCAAGCTAGCAAGAATCTCCAGTTCTTGTTGTATCCTTCTCTTTACCGACTTGCTGTGCCTCTCCGGTGAACCATTATCAAAGGGCTCAAGGACTTTGACTGCAACAGTGAGCCCATTATCAAGAACTGTTTTATAGTACTTCCCATTGGAGCTTGATCCTAGCAACTGATTCTCAGTTGAAAGAGCTGATTGGAGAGTCTTGGCAGATATTTTTGGGGAAAATATAACGGGACCTTTGAGGATTGGGGTTTGGTTCATGTACTGAACTGCAAATTTGATTAATAAAGCAAAAAGAATGGCTCCAATAAGTCCAGTTAGAATTCCTAATGCAATGCTGAGAATGATCCTTTTGAATCCAATCTTGAATTCTTGAGGCGTAGAAAGTGAAGGAGGCAGAGAAGAGAGGTGTCTAATGAGCCTTCCTTCGCATTGTACAGTTGTTAGGTGGAAGCAAAGAAGCAGCAGCAAAAGCAAAGAGAGAGTGCAACTTCTTTTCTCCATTGAAGCAACAAAGCCACAAACAAACACCAAAGTCATGAAAGAAAAAGAGAAGCTAAGAGCATGAGCCAAATCCACATATCCGTACAGTTCTTTCTTATCCTAAAGCTTCAAAGAGACCATGGCTCAAAAATCCGAAAATCCACAGAAATTCTTCATTCTTCTCCAGCATCTCAGAGAGCAGAACAGAAATAAACTCAAAAGAAGCTAAATTTCCCACACAAGCAGTTCTAGAGCTTTTACTCTGCACCAAAACTAAAGAAGCTTCAATTTTTTTCTACTCCAAATGCTCCAACTTTTGTGGACAAAAATGACAAGAAAACCCTCTAGAGGAACCTTCAAGCACTTGAAACCGGCTGAGAAGAGATAAAAATCGAATTTTTTTCAACTCAAAATCTTCCAAAGGAAGACGCAAAGAATCATTTCGCCATTGATTTTTTTTTTTATGTGTTCCCTGACCTGAAACTCCAAACGAATCTAATCTTCAAATTTCAAACCAAACATAAAATGTACCCAACTTAAGCAACAGAGCGGATACCGAAAGAGAAAGGTTCGCACATTTGACAGAGAAAAATGTCCTTTTTAAGTGTTGATAACTTGAGATATTAGACTTTAAGGAGAAAAAACAATTGAGAACCCAGTTTTTCTTGCCTCTCAAAACATGAGTAAAACTCCAAAGGGTAGCGGATTCCCAGTCAAAAGAGCAAGAATTAGCAAAGTATAAGTCGTTTTCGAACTTTCTTTTTTTTTGTAAGTATTATTATTAGTTTAAATTTTCTTGAGCAATAATTGTTATCATTGGGCTTAAAAAACATCACAACAAAACAAGCCAAGCCCTAACTGTTTCCTTTCCTCACTGGCATTATTGTAACCAAAATTCTGTAGTATCGGAATAAGGAAAATAAAAAGAAAGGGAACCTTGTTTGGTATTGTTTTTCTCTCTCTAATTGTAAATTTGGGGCCAAGGGCCATAGCTCTTCACTTCCCGCCATCCGCTATCGAGTGCAGGGGGTCCGTGCCACGTGGGAATAAGCATCGCTATCACGAGGCCGAAAGCGAGACATCGAACTGTGTGTGACAAGGGAGAGAGAGAGGATCGTGACCGTGGGTTCGGGGGCCAAGGAAAACATCGGAGGCGTTAGAAGGGAACCCACGGGAATTTGTGCCATGTGGCTTTTTGTGACTATACAAAGGGGCACAGTGTTATGGTGGGATTAGTAAAGTTTTATTCGTTTTTTTATCATGAATAAATATCAGTATAGTATAGAGCTAGCTAGTAATTGCCTTTTTTGTCTCCCTTCTTTATTTTAATTAGTACAATCATACGTTTCTATCTTTAGGACACCCAAAAAGAAAACCATTCATTGAATTGTGTTACTATTTGCCTTTATATGTATGTATGTACGCATGTTTGCTTGAGAAAACCAGTTTTATTGATATAATAATAATAATAATAATGTTAGGGACGTGTGATAGGACAACAAGTGCGTAGGCGTGAGGCTTTTGAGAGCTTGTTCGACTTGTCACCGTCCCCCTGCTGCTGATACTTGGTTCTGTTTTTTTAACCACGGGAGCGCCCTGCGCTTGGGAGTTGGGACCCAACGAATCCAAAAGCCAGCAAGCTGGGAGATCTCGATTCTCCCCT